TCAAAAGTTTAAATATGTAAAAAAATCTTGTGGTAAGTTGGAGTATAATCGAATGCGATGATAAGATGAGAATGTTGATAGTGAAAAGTTGTGTAGTTATCGTTGGAAGAAACTGAGATTGAAAGAAAAAGAAAACATTGTACAGAAACTTCTTTGATAAAAAAACAATAAAATTGTGTAAATAAAATAATTGATTAATTTAAGAATTTCAATGTAAAACTAGTAAATTTATTTGACATATAAAATTTTAATCGATTATAGATATCCTTCTTTTGAACATTCTCATTCTCAAGATGTGAAGATAAGCATTAGATCAGAAAAATCATCAAATATTTTGTTTGTTATTCAAAGAATAAAACAGAATTTTTTAGATGTTATGTAAGAACTATCTGATCAGCGTGAACAATATTATATTTTGTTTAATTGATTGATTGCGAAAAAAATTCTTAGTTAAATCTAATCATTTAGAAGTTTTTCTCTCTCATTCTTCACCGGTCAGATTCTGTTTCGAATTTTTAAGTTTCATGTAAAAGTCAAACATTGCTGTACATGTCAATCAAACTATTTTATCAGATTCTCTTCGATACTGTTGGACCTGCATAATGTTTTCTCTTTTCAAAATATCAAAAATAAACATTATTACAGAAAAAATTCAATTCATTTCAAATACTTTGTGGTTAAGAAACAGTTTTTTAACTTTTTAAATGCAAATTACCAGTTCAGTAGGTTAAAGGCGTATATTTAAAGTAAGAAGAAAATCCTATTCAATAAGACTTGCATCTCTGATACTCACGATATATTAAATTGATTTTATTGCTCATTTAGTCAATACTTTATCCGTTCTCCAAAATACCTATTTATCATCATTGACTAAGAATAATCAAATTTATTACCGAGACTGTGACAAACAAAATTTGTATTATGAATCCATTCAAGTGAAGGTGATCGAAACTGGTTATTACACTTTTCGTAGTAGTGGTGACATTGATTCATATGGATCTATTTACAAAAACAAATTTGATCCACTTGATCCATCAGAGAATTTGCTTAAAACAGATGACGACAGCGGTTCTGATACTCAGTTCAAACTTGATGTTCATCTTGATGTTGACATGATATACGTATTGGTTATGACAACATTTGATTCAAAAGAAACTGGAGAATTTTCGATCGGTGTGTTGGGTAAAAAGAAAGTTATTCTGGAACGTCTTAGTAAGTATACAGATATATGCGTTATATATTAAATAAGTTGTATAAAATATGCAGTATATCATCTAAATTCAATTTCATGTTTTATTCTATATCAAGAGAATGTACTGAACTCATACTATCTGATATTAAGACATTTTCCAGTAGGATATCTGTTCGTATATTTTGCTACCACTATCTCAGTGAATGAATACTCTTCACTTCCTAAAAATACTGGATGAAAAATGTGCTAAAAAGAATAGTCAGTGAGATGTTTGGAAACATTTAAGAGTCAGGTACGGAAAACCTAAAAACTATCTTGCCATAGCTCAGTACCTTTAAATTTCTGTAAAATATCAATTTCAGAATACACACTTGGACGATGTAGGTTTGGTATATTTACTAGACTTAATTTGTGAATTTAAATGTTCATAGGAAATCTCAAGGATTTTGCGTTCGTCGATGTTAGATAATAATTTCATTAATGAACCGTTGTGTAACTATTTTTGTTTTTTATTATTCAATAAATATTTTTTGCATGGAATGTGGAAGACAGAAATTTGTAATAGTCCCGAAATTTTTAGAGTCTTATTATTACAATAAATAGATTGAAATATTGAGAAATCAACCAAAAGTTAATCCATCTGAAGATTCTATGGATGATTTTACTTTATTTTATTGAATAGGTACTCCAGTAAACATTCAATTAATATATTCATCAAAATTAACTGATAATAGCCCAACATATTATCGAGATTGTCAAGTACCACAATGTCATTATGAAACTTTACAAATTCATGTTAATACAACGGGTTTGTATGTTCTTTGGAGTAAAAGTAATATTAATGCATACGGATATATCTACAAAAATGATTTCAATCCTCTAAAACCATCTGAAAACTTACTTCTATCACATAGCGGTGAATGTAATGATAGACAATTCAAGTTAATCATCGATCTCGAGATTAACACTCGATACATATTAGTAGTGACAGCACGCGATCCTAAAACAATTGGGAACATTTCAATTTTTATCTCTGGACCAAACAATATCAGTCTTAGTCCTTTCAGTAAGTATTTATATGATTTTTTCTATAACAAATATAGAATGGTATAACACAGTGAAAGAAGATTTCTTATATATTTTTTTGTTAGTGAGCAATTGTTATTTTAGGTTTTGAAAAAAAATCTATCGAGTTATTGAATTAAATAGTTTCAGAATCTTTGGGTCTATTGATCTATTAGAAAAGACATTTATTTAGCATCGATTGTAAATAGATTTTCCATATTTTGAATGTTGCTAGTAATAGCCTTTTAAATCTTTACGAATGTGGAGTTTTCGAAAACTAGAAATCTTGGAAAAGTAAAAGTTTCTTCAATAGTTTTTCTATTTGTAGCAATTAATAGTGAAAGAATAGGTCCTTTTCAATAATTTATCAATGACCTTGAGAAACAAGTAAATTGTCAAAACTGAATATTCTGACTGTCAAAATAACTTAATTTCTTCGCCATTCTTTTTTCAAAATATATTCAATACTTTAGGTCCAGAACAAACTAGTTGCGTGATTGGTGATCAATGTAACTTTTACATCAAAGGAATTGGTTTGACACTCGATGATATTTTACGCGATCAACTTCAACTAAATACAGCGTTGAATAATCAATCATTTTCGATTAAATTAAGTGCGGGCTTAGCAATAATTATGTTCATCGCAGGATTAATCAATAGTATTCTCTCTTTTATCACATTTCAAAGTAAAGATGCTCAACAAGTTGGATGTGGAATGTATCTAATAGCATCATCAATTACTTCTCTTTTAACAATTACGATGTTCATAATCAAATTCTGGTTTGTTGTTCTTACTCGTATTAATGTATCTACTAGTCTCTCTGTTCTTCGTAGAGGTTGTGTATCTATTGAGCCTATTCTAAAACTTTTTCTCTACTTGGATGGTTGGCTTAATGCTTGTGTAGCAGTTGAACGAGCAGTACTTATTCTTAAAGGAGTAAACTTTGATAAGAAAAAGAGCAAATCTATTGCTCGACGAACAATTCTTATTTTACCATTCTGTATTTTCGGTACACTTATTCACGAGTTTGTCTTTCGCCGATTGTTCGAATATGAAACAGCACCAGTTACAAATAAGACTAATGAAGACACAATCAAACGATATGTATCATGCATTACTCGATATTCTCCATCTGTCCAAGATTACAATACAGCCATCCTATTTTTTCATCTTGTTGGTCCATTTATTGTCAATCTTTTCTCTGCATTGTTCATCATCCTTGGAGGTGCTCATCAACGATCAATAACACGAACTAATCAAAGTTTTAAAGAACATGTTCAAGAGCAATTCCGTGAACATAAACAATTGATCATTAGTCCAATAGTTTTACTCATTTTATCAATACCTCGTCTCATCATTTCATTACTTCCTGGTTGTGCGAAAACATCTGAGAACTTGTGGTTGTATCTTGGAGCATATTTCATTTCTTTTACTCCTTCGATGCTAATTTTTCTTATCTTTGTCTTTCCTTCAGAAATGTATATGAAAGCATTTAAGCAATCGTTCAACCGTATTCGAAGACGTGCTCCTCCCTAATCAGCCCGTTCAGTTGCAATGACTTAATATTAAAGATGTTATGAAATACTAAAAATTTATTTAACCAAAACCAAAACGTATCTTTTTGTTATTTTTCTTCACTTGAAATGTTCTATTACATATTTTCTTCAAATTCAATATATAGCTAAAAATAAACATACAATACAGCCAAAAGAACTTAATCGATAAAAAGAAAACACGAGTACTTGTTTGATTATTGTCATCTGCGAAATACGGTATACTCTAAAAAAATACCTATGTCATAACTTGAAGATAACACATTTCAATATAAGTTAACAGAACAGAAGAAAAACGAATTATAATAACGAAAAGGAAAAAATACTATATGGCTATATATGGAAGAAAATACCATGTGACTATACATGTGGTTAATATAACCAAAGAATAATTTATTTGTTCACTTACAAGTGGTATAGACGAAAATCTTATTCAAATAGTTTCGTTTTGGTAAGTTAATATTTTGAAAAAATATAAAAATGAGTAAAAAAGAATATTATATAATAACTATCTTGAGAATGAGAGTGATGATGATAACAGTAAGACTGAATTAAAATGAATATGAAGATACAGTTGGATGCATAAGACACTAATATATCATCTGTTACGAGGGTAACGATCTATGTTTAATCTTCATCGACATCCAAATCGACATTAAAATATTCTTTCATGGAAAAAACATCACTTAATTATTTGACTTTTTATTTGAAATTAAAAACACATCATCTTTTACTACTGAACAGGATTTTTATTATTATTGAGTTTTTTAATTTACATCTAGAAATTTATGTTCAAAGACGTGGCAATGACAAACAATAAAACGCATTGTTTTACATGTAATAAAGACAAAATAACATATCCTTGTGAAGGATGTTTGAAAAACTTTTGTTTAATGGATTTAACAAAACATCGTCAAATACTAAATGAAGGACTACATCATATTATTAATGATTATAATCAATTTAAACAAAGATTTAATGAACAAAAACCGAGCTCACATGATCTTTCTTTAATAGATCAAGTTAATCAATGGAGAAGAAATTCAATTGACAAAATTAGACAAAAAGCAAAAGATTGCATAGAAATTATCGTTAAATCTTCACAAACATTTTTGAATGATATTGAAAAGAAATTTAATGATTTAAATGAACAAATAAAACAACTTCAGAGAGAAAATGAATTTAATGAGATCAATTTAAACTATTTAAGAAATCAGTTGATAAAGATTAAAGAAGAATTAAATAATCCACCAAAGACTTCTATTGAACAAGATTGTCAACCATTTATTAATGAAATTTCAGTTATTCCATTAGAAAAAAGTAAATTTTTAATAAATAATTTTTAAAAGAAAAATTCAGATTTTCTATGCATTTATATTAAAAAGCTATAATGCAAAGAAAAGTGAATGTAAAGAAAGTAGTTAAAAAAACATATTGTTGGAATTTTATCTCTTTAGATATTCCATATTAACATTTCATTCAAAATTAACCTTTTCTTTTTTCTTCTTCTTCTTTTCATCAAAACTGTTTGTTTTCTTTCTTTTCTAGAACCAATATTCAACAAATGGAAACAAAATGCTGTCACTGTAGCTGGTGGAAATGGAAAAGCACAAGAATTAAGTCAACTCAATAGCCCTCGTGGAATCTTTATTGATGAAAAGAAAAATATTTTTATTGCTGATCATGATAACCATCATATTGTTAAATGGAAATGTAATGCAAAAGAAGGACAAATCATTGCCGGTGAAAATAAAGAAGGAAATCGAATGGATCAATTGAATCGTCCAACAGATGTGGTTGTAGATCAACAAGATCATTCAATCATCATTGCTGATAAAGGGAACAGACGAGTGATTCAATGGTTGAATCAAACTCAACAAATTCTCATTGACAGTATTCATTGTCATGGCTTGGCAATAGATAAACATGGATTTCTTTATGTTTCAGATTGGAAGAAGAATAAAGTCAAACGATGGAAAATGGGTGAATACAACAACGAAGGAATTGTAGTTGCAGGTGGAAATGAAAGAGGAAATCAACTGAGTCAACTCAATTCTCCAGGTTTTATCTTTGTTGATGAAGATCAATCTGTTTATGTATCAGATCAAAACAATCATCGTGTGATGAAATGGATTAAAGATGCACAAGAAGGAATAGTTGTGGCTGGAGGAAATGGTGAAGGAGGAAATCTCAATCAATTATCGTCACCTGCAGGAGTAATTGTTAATGATTTGGATCAAATTTATGTTGCTGATTATTTGAATCATCGAATTCAAAAATTTGAAAAAATTTTGTAAATGAAATTTTGGTTTTAAAATAAAATGTATTAAATAAATAATCGAGAAACAAAAGAAAAAATAAAGTTCTATTGTTGAAAATCAATTAAAAATACGATTAAAATTTGAAGAAAAAGACATATTTCAGCAAAAGAACGAAGAAAGATCTTTCTAGCTGTTTCTCTTAAAAATTTAATTTAATTTGATAATTTTGATTAGAAAACTCGAATAAATAAATGTTTAATTCTTCATCATTTGTTAATTTTTGTTGAATTTCATAGGAGAGAAGAAAAGAAGGGTGTAGTGTGGATATGGGTGTGGGTGGATGAAATAGAGTACACACCCACCTGCCCACAGTTTAATTACATTTAGATGATGTAATCATGTTTCTCTTCATAAATACATATATATATAACAAATAGTAAGTCAGTATACTTCAGAGGTGAATTTGTTTTTTGTTTGAATGAATTGTTCAATAATTGAAATTCGACAACGAAATAAGTATAAAGAATAATTTACCTTCGCTCTTACATTTATCTGTTATTATTAGAAGACGAAACGTTTGTATTGAAATAATGGAAAACAATATATTCTAAAAAAGATATGGGTGTGGGTGTGGTTGAAATAGAGTGCTCACACCCAAACTACACCCACCCTTCAATGACAAATGTTTTACTAATGTTAAAGACCATCTTGACACAAAAATTTGCATCAAATATCCTGTTATACCAAAATTGGTTAGAGTTTTTTTCTATATTTGCTCAATCTATGTAAATATCATGTCCAGTTGTTCAAGCAAAATTGAAGAATTACTTAACATTAAAGTCTACCATAGATTTATTTGTACTCGCTATTATTTATTGCTCATGTTCTTCATAGACACGAAAGATGGGAAAGCAAACATAGTTTCCAAGGTCGATCAAGTATAAAAGTGATAAATAGTGTTCATATCTCAGAAAAAGTTAATAAAAGTGCAAAAATAACATAGATTTCATAGTCGTATGAAGTTTTCTATCCACCAATACATGTCGAGAAAAAAAACACATAAAGCAAGTAGTAGAAAGTACTATTGTAGTAAAACAGTACTTTTATATAATACCTATACTGATCAAAAGAAAAAAAAATGACTCATCTAGGGATCGATTCAGATCTTATAAAATCAGGAAAAAAAGAAATGACTCATACTGGTATACTGACTGATCTAGTCTGACCGGTACCAGTATCAGTAAGGAAAACCCTACCGGTTACAACTCTGAAAGGTATATTAAATCTTTTATAATCAAACTTTGATTTCAAAATTGATTTAGTCAAATCTAATATATGTTATTTCTGTTCTTCGACATTTAATATCGTATATTTAACTTGTACATTATCGCAAGAATATATCTTTAAAATATCTTTTAAACAATCAATAGGACATAGCTTATGTTTTACAGGAAGAATAATATTAATGATCATATTCTTTGTTTGTTAAAGCTTTTTATTAACTATTTATAATAATATTGATATTAGATACGAGAGATGAAATAATATGAATGATTATTATGACGAAATTAAACAGATGAAATGTTTCAAATATATCAATCAATCAATTAATTAAAACCACATAATAAGTCCACAACCATCTTTTTCAACATAATCATATGCTTTTTTATTTAATGATAAATTAAGAATAGAATTCCGTAATTGTTTGATGAATAAACAATGTTTCTTGAATGCTGATTTAATATCATACCGATCTTCACAATTAATACGTCGAAAACAAAAAGAGAAATCCAATAAGTTTGGTGTTGTCTCCGCAATAATTTGGCAATTTGTACCATCTGGAGGACTATGCATACCATATAAAATTATACGTAAAGAGTTCAACAATGGTAAAGTTGAGAGCGTATGTAAAGCAGTCCAATCATCAGCAGCAAAACGAAGACATTCATGATGCAGAATGATTTGAATAGATCGAATATTTAATGAAAGTAAAGAACTATTCAGTGAATCCAAACCATCAATAAGAATAAGATGAGAAACATTTGATAAATTCATAGATACTTGTCTATTACATCGGTATAAACGAAGTTCCATTATCCTATTCGAAGACATTATTTGAGGGAAGAAACTTGCAGGTGATGCAAGATTATCTGACACATTCAATTCAGTTAAATAAGATGAATGAATTTTAGTAATTGAAGAAGAAGATATAAATACTTCTACTTCACTAATACATCTATCTGGAACACTTAATTTAAAAAATTCATTAAAAATCCATGGTAAAGTGTAGAATAGATGTTGTCGATTTTTTGATTTCGCGAACTAAAAACAAAATAGATATAATATATTTCTTAAGAGACAAATCTAATATTGAAGTAATCTTTAAGAAAATGAAAACTTACATAAAATTGTCCTGGAGTCCTGAATGGTTGATTATCAGGCCAACAGTCAGAAATAAATGTTGCACTAGCTATTTGACGAGAATGCGATTGGCTACCACGTGGTACATAGTTGAGAAGTTCTATATGTGGACAATCATCATTAATAATAAATGCATAATGAATATCAATATGACGAAAATCCGTGAAAAGTGCGGAATTTCTCATTCGAATAAGATCATCAACACTAATAACAAGAGAAAAATTTATTCGTCGTAGTACCGGCATAATATTAGAAGAAGTTAATATTTTAACAAATGTCCATTCAAGAAACGAATGCCAATTAAATGATTTAACAAAACTAAATGTATGTAGAACTTTCATTTGAGGTAAAAGACGTATAGCACCTAAACTCTCCATAAGGCCAGGTCCACCACATAATTTAATGTGTAATTGTTCTAATGTATGTGACAATGGTTCAGTCGACATTATATCTAACAAAGTGTGCGTTACACTTAAAGTAATAGCCAAATAAGTTAAAGGCATTTGTATTGTTTTAAAAGGCCAACGATGTAAGAAAAAAGATGATCCCATTCCCAAATCAAGTGAACAAAGAGCAGACATATGATTAAGAATTTCAGTAATAAATTCGCATAAATTCCATAATGGATAACATAGTTTTGCAGTTAAACCACCCTTAATGAAACAAAAAATATTAAACATATACCCCTGGAAAAAAGTAACTTTTCTTTATATTTTGGTGGTATTGTTACCATAAAATTACATTTTTCAAAACGTAATGATCAATTCTGAAAGCACATGAAGTTCTCTATCATCCTTTATATTTACATATTTGTCTCGACTTATATGCTAAGAATAGATTAGATACAATGAAAGTACTTCTATCACTAGATTTCCACAAATTGAATTTTGACTTTTTGAAAATTTTCATCATTATAATAAAATAATAGCTTTCTAGAAGAGTAATTACATATTGTAATAAAGCATTTCAACTTCTATCAGATTATGTAGTTGCCTTTTGTTTTAAAAAGTGTTTTTAGACGTATAAAAACTTTCAAAAGTATTTGGGATGAGAATGACTAAATCCAGTCTTTAATGATATGACGGTAAAGGTACTTTTATTGTACTTAATTTCTTTTTTAGCATATAAGTCGAGATAATAAAAATACAAATATACAATAGAATAGAGAACTCTACGCACTCTCAGAATATATCAATACGTTTTAAAAAATATAATTCGAAGATAACAATATCTTCAAAAGACAGAGGAAAGTTTATTCTTTTCAGAGGTGTATATTGATATTGCTAATTAAAAGTTGAAATGTTTTCTCTACTTATATAAACTTGTTAATAATAGAGAAATTCTTTAGCTAAAAACATCTATGCAGGAAGCTTTCGAGTTTTGAGATCTTTTACACAAAAACAAAAGGTTTTCAAAAGATATTTTTATTTATTTAAAACTGCTCTTTCAAAAATAATTGATGTAGTTCATTGGAAAGAAATATCTAATGAACAATATCTGATCAAAATACTTTTCTTAGATATATTCTTGCTTAGAATATGATAATATTGTCTTCAAGCGTCGTTTTATACATGAATAAATGGATGCAGACTATCAAGCTATCATAAATACAAAAAATACTTTTCATAAACTTCTTGAGCAAAACAAAAATCATATAATATGCAGTACATTTAAAAAAATGTTCGACCAGAGTCTTTTAATATTTTCCATACATTCTATTGAAATTATTCCTAAAATAAAATTATTTCGAACAATACTTACTGTTTTAAAATACTCGCTTGATTTGACTACTAAATGAGTTAATGTGGTAGAATGTCGTTGTGCAAAATTAAAAACATTAATGACGTTTCGTACACCTTTTACTTTCAATATTCTTAAATGTGGTAAATAAGGCCAACATCTTAATTGAAGAGGGGATGAATAACAATCAATGATAAGTGATTCGATTTCATTGAATCGAAGTAATGATAAAAATTTTCTGAATCGATGAAACCGTGTGGATGATAAATTAATATGATAATAAAAGCCACGTTCAATTAATAATCTTGTTAGACGAATATTGAGATTATTGAAACACCATAAAGCATCTACACAAGATAAATAAGAAAATATTTCTATCAATGATAGATCAGCCAGATTATCGAAGATAGTAACCATATTATAATGAATTGAATCAAAAACGAGAACTTAAGACACCAATTCTTTTTTCTTATACCCATTCATATAATATTACATTGCGGACGTTCATTATGTGTTATTATTCTCTCTATTATGTTTCATAGCCAATAGAAACAATTGTTCAATATTGTTCTTCTTTCTATGAAGGAAAAATAGTCGGTCTTTTTCAACTTTTTGTACCCTCACGGTCAGATTTTGCCAAAAGACAATGTCCAGTCGGAGAAGATTATATTTTTGTTGAATTAAATGTAAATTACTTTTATTTATTTATGTTAGAAATTTAATCATGTAAAAAAATTAAAGATTATTCATTACCTTGAAATCAAATAACAACGAAACACAAATATAGAAAATCTGGAACTACCAAATGATATTATAATATTTTATACTGGGATCCAAATGAATGATCTTTTTGTATATGATGTATCAGATCATGTGAAAAAGATTATATATATAGATACACAATAAAATCAGTAAGATTTGTCATTTTTCAAAGGACTCTTTTGAAAAACTGACTGCTAGAAAAAAAGATCATAACCACTATGTGTTCATTGTATAGAGTTTTTTCTACACAAAAGATCGAAAAAAGCGTTCATCTTGTGGAAATCTATTTATAGTAAAAATCGATCATGGGAACTGAAAAATCAGTTCAAATCGTAGGTGTTCATTGATAGAGTTTTCATTGTATTTCAATAAAGATATATGATAATGGTTTACATTTATTTTAAAAAGATGTCACATGAAAAGTTTCACAGAATTTCTACAGAAAAATTTACTTTAGATAATAAATCATTTTTTTAAACATGTTTTATTATGTAGCGTATCCGGCTATATAAAATACTTTCGTTTCTATGACTAAATCTAATCATATCTTACTTATTTATTCCGATAGTTTTTAATTTTGAAATCAAATATATAATTGAAAAAAACAGGAAATATCGAATTTTATTCTTTTGAAAAGCAGTTAAAAGAACTTAATCGATAGAAAAGAAATTCAAAGTAGAGTTACAGCCTTATCGAAAATTCAAGAAAAAGATGATGTTTGAAAGCGTAGTAATTATTTATTAATCTAATGAGAAAGTACGAGTATTTATTCGATGAGAAATGGTTACTTTTTTGATTATTTACATCTCTGAAATACAATATACTCTGGGCAAATAGCTATGTATAGTATTTCTTTGTTCATTGCGTGGAAATAACACATTTCAATAGAAATCAACAGAACAGAAGAAAAACGAATTATAATAGCGAAAAGAAAAAATACGAAACGATCATATATGAAAGAAAAGAGAATAATACCGTGTAGTTAAAAACGTGGCTAATGTATCGAACGAATATTTTATTTGTTCGCTTGCAAGTGGTATAGACAGAATTCTTATTTATATCGAAATAATTACAAAATATCAGAATTATAGAAATTCATTTGTTTGATATAGTTTCAATTAGGAAAGTTAGGTTTTTGAAATGATATGAAAGAAATGAACAAAAAAGAATATCACACAGTAACTATCTTGAGAATGAGAGTGAATGAAAGATTGATATATTATCCATTTGAAGATTAGAGTTTTGAGTACAGATCTGTGTTTAATCTTTGCTATATCCAAATCTACATTGAAACATTCTTTTATTGAATAAATATCACTAGAATTGTTTAGATCTTCATTTTAATTTAAAAACACATCATCTTTTACGAATGAACACTGTTTTTGTTGTCATTGACTTATTAAGTTTACATCTAGAAAAGTAGATAAAGATATATTCACTTCTTTTATAGACTTCTATTCAAAGACATGGCACTGACAAACAATAGAAAACGATGTTTTACATGCAACAGAGAAAAAAGTACATGTACTTGTGAAGGATGTTCAAAAGATTTTGTTCAATACATATACCAGAACATCTACAAAGATTAAATGAGGAATTATATCGTATTATTGATGATTATAATCAGTTTTAACAAAGAATTAATAAACAAAAACGATATTCATATAATCATTCATTAATAGAACAAATTGATCACTGGGAAAGAAATTCAATTGAAATAATCCAAGAAAAAGCAAAAGATTGTAGAGAAATTGTTATTAAATCATCGCAACCATGTATTAATGATATTGAAAAGAAATTTAATGATTTAAATGAACAAATAAAACAAATTCATAGTGAAAATGACTTTAATGAAATTAATTTAATTTATTTCAAAAATCAATTAATAAAAATTACACAAGCATTAAATAATTCATTAAATATTCATATTCAAGCAGATTCAAAATTATTTATTAACGAACTTGCAATTATTTCACAAAAAAGTAAGTTTTTTAATAAATAACTTCTTGAAAAAAACAATTCTCATTTTCTATAGATATGAAAGATTATTTCAACAAGGTAATCAACATTCTAAGCAAACCATCTACTACATCAGATGTAACTGTCGATTCTCAAATAGCACTTATAGAACGAATGGAGATAGGGGATTAATTATTGTCGATATTAACTAATCGAATTAATTCAGCTTTTATTTTTTTTTATATTGTTAGCCAAGAATATTAAGAAATAAAAATAAATCAAAAAGATAATCTACTTTCAATAAAGAATAACTGTGGTGTATGAAACTCAATTGATTTCATCATTGATAATAAAGAGATTCTAATGTCTAGGGTGTGGATGTGAGTATTAGTGTCTCTCTTCTCTTTACTTACACCCACACCCACTCTCAAGATGAAAGGATGATTGAATATTCATTATAGATCTTAAAAGTTCGTTCTTCATCTTAATTTGTTTTGTATAAATTGTTCTGAATAGAACCAGATGATGATAAAAGTAAAGTATATGATCTTATAAGTATCTTTTTAAGTCATTGTTGAATAGTAATATTTATCAATGTGTTTCAATCTATTAAATGCAAAATACAAAGAATCAATTGTGTTAGATAATTTATTGTGATATATTCTTTCTTCCTATAATATGAAAAATGCAGATGAATCATTATGAGTCAATAATCGCGTTAGAAAAAATTACCTTTAGCTAATGAATCAGTACTTACACAACATAGTGCATTTGTTTTTCTTTCAACATGCTTTGAAATTTAGAAACAACTCTTCTTATAAATCAAATCATTTTCTTAGTTGTACTTTTACAAAAATGGATGAAGAGGTATCATTAATTTGTAATAAATATATTGCATATTTTCCTGATATATCAACTACTGCACTTCAGCAACTTTATGTTCAACCTCGGTCACGAGATAAAATACCAGTTACTCGATTATTTATTGGTCGCTATAATGCATTTCCATGTTTGCTATCTTGTACAAACGTAGAATCAAATGCTCGATTTCATATAACAACAATTTTAAATTATTTGAAAAATGAATATCAACATAATATCATTAACGATGTAACTGTAAATCGATATCATACAAAATCAAAACAATTTTATACTTCGTAAGTTTTTAAAAAAGTCAATTTTGATCTAGAAGATTAAACTTCTTTGTATATAATTAGTTCTCGTCTTTGTGATCTTGGAAATGGTATTATGATCTTTATAAAAAATATATTTATAAAATCCGATATTGACAATCCAAATCAATATTCTCCTGATCTTTTGGATGATTATTTTATTGTATCGCGAATCATTGCCATCTATCATCTTCGTCATCTTGATACAGAAGTTGAAAATATGGTGAAAGAATTTTTAAAAAGATCTGTTTTTGAAACGAAAACATTAAAATTTCAAATGATATGTCGTAATAGAGCATCAGAATATTATTTAACTCCTATTAATATAAGAAAACCATTGATTCAAGATTTAGCATTACATTATGGACAAAGTTTTATTAAAATTCATGAAAACATTCTCAAAGAATTAAATAAAAAAGATGGTAAAGGTATTGTTCTATTATATGGAATACCTGGTAGTGGTAAGTAAATATTGTTTTCATATAAAATATATTCTCTATTGCGGTTGTGTATATAGGTAAAACTAATTATATTCGTTATTTAATGGATGAAATTGAAAATAAAAAATTAATTTATATTCCACCAGACAAAGCAAAAGATATTTCAAAACCCGAATTTCTTAACTTTTTATTAAAGCATCCAAACTCAATTTTAATTATTGAAGATGCTGAAAATATAATTCGTGATCGAAATGAACCAACTATTAATTCAACACAAGCTGTTGCAAATTTATTGAATTTATCTGATGGTTTATTAGGTGATGCAATGCATATGCAAATAATAGCTACATTTAATTGTGATTTAACTACTGTAGATAAAGCTCTTTTACGCAAAGGAAGATTAATAGCACATTATAATTTTCAAAAATTAAATGTTAATGATGCGAGAATTTTATCAGAAAAATTAGGTTTTGGTACAAAGAATATATCAACTTCAATGAGTTTAGCTGAAATCTATAATCAGAACGAAATGAATGACATTGGAGAGATTGTGTAAAAGAATTTTATTTTATGAAAAAATAAAAAAAACCACAATATTTCAACACTTTGGCCTATATGTTATGTTATTTTCAGCATAAAATGAGGAATTTTCAAATGATTTATATAATATTCATATTTTAAAGGATCTGAAAGAGATAATGTAGAACTTACTAACTAGAAATGCTTTTAAAAGATTTGTCTGTAAACAAAATATTCCGAATCTTTACATCTACATTTATTTCAATTATTTTCTTTCTGATTTTCCACAAGATAATAAATTTTAAAGTTTTCATGTCATCTTGAGGTGTGCATATTGCTAAAAGATGAAATCGAAATGGTTTAAATTACTTAAATATGTTTTTTCGTATGTAAAATGGATTGAAAATATATTTTAAAAAAGAAGTCATTCTAAAATATAATTACAATTGATATTATTCGAAAAGAAAACTGAGTTTATATCATTCGATGAGAATTCTTGATCACAGAAGAGATTATCAAATCCATTTTCGTTCAAAATTAAAATTAAATGTTTGTTTTGGTACTGCGCGTGGTGTATATGAAGCTGGACCAGGTTGTTCAGCTGCTGCTATTGTATCAAGTGCCCATCGACTTGTATTGGAAACAAATGCAGCTGATGTCATATATTTCTTTTCAACTTCTTTAAAACCACAAATTTCATAAGCTCCTGGACCAGGAAATGGAGCATCAGGTGGAGGTGGAATAGCTGGAGCAGAAATGGTTAAATAAGGATGACGTCTGAAATAAAAGAAGTTTCTATTATCAAAACAAAAATTTTTAATTAAAAAAATATACGGAAATATTTGTCGTTGAGGTTCTTCGGTTATTTTTTCAAATGGTCGATAATCAGCTGGACCTGGTATCTAAAATAATTATACAATAAAATATGAAATAATATCAATCAATGTAATTTAATAAAATACTTCAGTGGTCGATTTAGAACTGAATGTATCACGTTTTGATGTTGATTTAAAACTTGATTGATGAATAGGTCTTAATGTTCGAGTAGCAGCATCATTTACATTATATGTATCTTAAATATCAATTTAATTCTTATTTCCTATATGGATAAAATAATAATACAAACCAGGAGCAGGTGTTATGAAATGTTTATTCACTGGAACAGATCGTTTTGTATGTGATCGAAAAGCTGCTTGTGCTGAAACATTATTTGATTTTCCTGTTCTTCTTAATCCTCTATGAACCTATAATAATTAATAAAATATGAAATTTGAAAGAAAAATCACTGAATTACGAACATCATATTGATTTGGAGCTGGAATTGATGATTTTGATGACAAAGGTCGTTCAGCAATAGGCTTTTGAAACATACTGGAATATTTAGCTCGATTAAAATCATGCTGACCAGTACCAAGTTTACTTGAAATATTATACGCTGTGGGTGCTGGAGCACTTAATGCACCACTCATGAAACCTTCACGTCTACTCTAGATATACATAAGAAAATATGTATGAAACTATAAGAAAAGAGAAAAAAAGAATTAACTAACTTTGGAAGCAAATCCACCTGAACCTTTTTTCGAGTCAGACGTTTTTTCTAAT